GCTTGGGGGGCTCGCTAGCAGCATCGACGGGTCCTTGTTCAAATCGTTCTGAGTCCTTCTTTTGGGCAGTCATTGCTCGGCGACTTTCTGCAAGTCGTGAGTCGTGGGTTCGCCTGGGTTTTCAGCTTCCAGGGCACACTTTTGCAGGCGCGACCCAACCCCCGGAAAACTTCCGTTGACCACCTGCTTTGCGCACTGTGCGCATGGTTCTCAAAGCTTTTCCTTTTAACCTTTTTCCCTGGTATTCCAGAGCATTGTGCCAGGTTTCCAGGGCTTGGCTATTCCGGGGGTTGTGTTGAGGATTGAACTCCACTTGGCGGCTGCCACCTGTTAATGGTGCTTCCCAACTGCTTTACCTCTAAAATACATTTTCTTGGACCTGACGCTTTGACGCAAACCCCAGACCACTTGGAGGCAGATCTTCCTTCTCTGTCGATGGCCCATCGCCATTGCGGGGGCAGGGTTGCGGGAATCAGTGCGCCAGCAATGTCCTTGCCATCGCGGGGTCTTTTTGTTTCTAGGCCGTCGTTGCTGCCAACATCGCTGCGCAGTGCGCGCGATCCACCGTGGCCCCGTTCCCTGCCCAGGCAAAAGTTGTCGTCCTGGAGATCAAGGGGCCCGACCTCCGATGCGGGCCGCAAAGGCTCACTACCAGAATGCGACTTGGGCCTGAGGGTCTCCGGATGAGCTTGACGCAAAGCGCCTTCTTTGCCGCTGAGCGGCTTCGGGCGCCGCACCATGTGTCCCGCCTGCCTTAAAGTCAGGGGGGCCCATGCTGCCTGCCTTTAAGCCAGCCTCCAGCTGTTCTTGCCGTGCCGCCCTCTTCGCCTGACCCGAGGCTCGGTGAGCCGCCTGGACTGCGGGAATGCCTGCTACGTGGAGCCGAGCTTGAAAAACATGCGCGCGCAACGTCTGCTGCAGCTTGTGAGCATGAACAGTGAACAGCTTGCAGTAGGTTCATTCCAACAGCGGGACATCCCCTGCTTCGTACTTTGATTTGTGACTGCCTGCTTTGTGGAGCCACGCTTGCGCCACATATGTGAGTAACGTCTTGCGCAGTGGGCGCCTTGCAGGGCATTGATTCCGGCAGAGTTGCTTGCGAGGCTTCGCACATTTTTGTTGCGACCGCTGATCTTGTCACACATCTCTTGTTTAGTTCTTCTCTTCGTGGCCAGGCACGCATTGCGGAAAAGGGCTGTCGCAAATCCGCGCTATGTATATACACATATATAAATATATTGTGTGTATGTCTGTTTGTATACGTACTCATGCATACAAGTACTGAGTTTGCAAGTACGATTGTTTTGTCGTGGTCCGCAATGGGAAAACCCTGCATCGCGCGTGCTTCTCATTGTAGCAATCCTTCTATCAGTGGGATGCTCGGCGGAATCCACTTGTCAGCTGCTCTGGCGGGATGCTGGGAGGTAGGGCGGTGTCACAGCCTCGCAAGCACGGGCGCCAATCTAAAATCTATCTGCTCCCTACGGGGTGCAGAAGAAAAGCTTCTTGCTCGGAGAGTTGTTCCTGGCCCAAAGTGTCGTCTGCATCTCCAATGCCTTGCGGTGCATCATCGCCGCCCGCGCGGCCAATTGGAGCCCAGGTTGGTGAGAGGCCTTGCGATCACAGCGGAGCTTGGAGAGCCATGGGGAGGCCAAGAACCTGGAGGTTCTTCCTGGCAAGGAATTTCTGGTTTTTAGGGACAGTACAGCTTTTGCTGTCCTTAAAAAACCCAAAAAAGTGCTGTATGCCCAAGACTGTTTTTTGGAACATTCAGCCTCCTAAGCCTGGATTTTAGGGACAGTACAGCACTTTCTGCATGCTGCCACAAACCATCTGTAAGCATCTGCTTCAAGTTGCCTACATCTCTTCATCATGAATGTCGCAATCTTTTACTGATCTGCTCATCAAGAATGATGCTCGTTTTTGACCCAAGTTTCTAGGATCAGAATCTGATCCTTGAACAGGTGGTCAAAAACAAACATTTTACCTGTGTTTTTCCAGTGTTTTTTGCTTTCAAGAGGTAAAATGTGGATCTTGGGGGTGGGGGTGACCATATATACTTATATATGCATATATGTACGTGCTGGCACCGCACTGCGGGCACCCCTTTTCATTTTGGGTCTGCCCTACAAAGCCACCAAAATCAGTAAAAATTCCTGAAGCCTTGACGTTTGTGGTCCTTTTTGGGTTTGACTTGCAGCAAAACAAGCAAGCGACAACGCGTCGCCAATGTTTTTGCACAGGAGGCCTTCCGTTTTTTCCAGGTGGAACGGCATGGATGTCACAGACCCCAAGAGTGGCTGGAAGCAGGACCGAGCGCCGTGTAGTGATGTTTACTTGAGCAATATAAAGGGCAATCCTTGGTGTGAAGTCGCTTTGTTGGGTCAGACCATAGATGATTTTTATCGAGCAAAAACCGAGGCCAAGTGGTTAAAGATACGCTGGTGAATATACCAGTTCAACCCATCCCCCAGGCAGCATGCCTGGTGCTAAAATAAATCACACAACGTTTTGGAAGTGTTTGAGACGCTGCTCAGGATTCGTTCAGGGCTGCATGCAGCACGCTGGAAATGAATGCATCGAGGCTTTACACCTATTGCACTTGGGCATTCGTGACATGGTCAAAGAGGCGCTGTAGGGTCATCGGGTCATCAACCCTCCCAATTGGGATTTGACGCAAGCACTTCGAGGATTCCGATGTTTGGGAACTGTGCCCATGACCCTTTACAAGGAGTCCTGAGCAATGCTCGCGGCCCCGGACATCTTCCACTGTGATTCGCTAGGCCAACTCCATCCAAAGTTTCCAGAGTTTCTCGTGGCTTTGGCGGTGCCAAGTTGCAGCTCAATGAAGTTGCGACAGGACAAAGCGCAAGCAAACTCCTACGAGTTTGACCTGGACGGTGGCACCGGCGCTGACGACAACATGATTGACGCTCGGTAAGCTTGAAGCGTGACACAGTTTGACAGGCGGCCTTTTTGGATGATCAATCGTTGCAGGGGTTCCGGGCGCACCGGGGTCAACAAGCCGACAGACCTGTGATGAAATGAAGAGCCCCAATGAAGTAGCGTTCACGCTGATTGACAATTCCTCTCAAGGTATTTATTGGGGGGATCCTCAAAAGTGTGGTGTTCCTCTTGGTTTCCCTTTAAACAACCACTAGAGGTCGACAAAACCACACTCAACAATTCGCATTAATACTTACTCGCCATAGTTGTGACAAAATTGCTTCTCGAAAATTCGACGGTGTTAGTAGTTTGACCTTGTTGTGGGTTTCTCCTGGGTGCCAGAACAGAAGTGAGGGGGCGGTTTGGCCAAGCCTTGTGAGAATGTTTAGACGTTGCTGGGACTCAAAAGGGAAACAAGGCGGCGTTTCTTGATGATCGGGCCTCCAGACAAAGGAACGCGGTGTTTTTGGAAGAAGCCCACTCCAAAAGGGTTGAACCCGTGCACTGCAAGTTCAAAGCGCACTTACGACAAAGAGGGAGCACCAACTGTTGGGATTTAAGTGACCCAATTAAGTGCGGATATCTTTTGGAATTTGGTTGCATCCGTATGCCGGGGTTGAATGCCACGGGACACTTATTCACAACTCACTAGGATGTGAACTGGCCGAGCTGCAACAGCGTCTCAGCGGGCCTGGGCTATGGCTTGAAGTACTCTGCGAGCAGGCCTGGATGTGCTTGTGCACTTCCAAAAGAGATTGGCTCCAATTCAGATGAAGTGCAGATTCTACTGTAGGTAAGCCAACATGTCCTTAAGGCCGTGGCAAAAAACCAGCCACTCTTCCTGTTAGTATTCCTGCAAACGAGTCTGATTACATCCCGAATGATGAGTTTGAGGCATGGCCCATTTTACATCAATCGACCACTCCCCTTTAAACAGCAGAAGCTTCACGCAACTTGGCTCCGCAGGAATTCCTGGGACCGCGAGGACAACATCGGGGTCTCGGGGCAATTCTACCAGGACAAGTATGCATCTGGGCTGAACCTACCCTCAGCCTGTTGCTTACGTGCCAGACAGCCAGTGTGAATTCTTCGGAAAACCAACAGGGGATATGTTTGTTGACTTTTCCCAGCTGACCTGGCTGTGGGTCAATACCAATGGTACCATTTCGGTAGATGCACCAACAATTTTAGTCTATTTCAGTGCGGATTGGGATGCTCACTGGGGGTGGGCCAATTTAGCACCCAGTTCATACGCAATATCAAATCTGAACATAACAACTTGTTACGGGAGGATGGCACAAAGACCTGCACTTGCGCTGAGGCCAACCAGAACCTGGAGTCCTTCTTCTGCCTGAATGGAAAAGTGCCGTGGAAGCATAGCGAGATGTGAAGGCCATTGTGAGATGTGAGGGTCATTGTGAGCTGAGAATTCTTGCCCACCATGGACACACTGCTGGCATTGGCTGAGGTGAAAAAAATGTCCCCATTAACATGGAAGTTTTGGCGCAGAATTCCATGTTTCAGGTAGCCCCTGGTTGCTGATTCGATTTGGTGGTTTGGACGCTAGGGGGGACTTGTCCATGTACTCTCTACAAGAACCACGGGTTCAAACCCCCAAACCACCAATCCAAACCACCAACTAAGGGTTGCCCGATCTCAGCTTCCTTCCATTATCATTGGTGGCTTGGATTGGTGGTTTGGCGGTTAGGGGGACATTTCCCAGTTGTTCTCTACGAGAACCACGGTTTTAAATCCCCAAACCACAAATCCAAACCACCAATTAAGAATCAAGGGTTACCTGAGTCATGAAGGGCAATACAAATTGAAGTTTGCCGTCGGTTGCCCGTCGCTCGTCTCTGAATTCAGATGCTGTCCGACTGGGTACTCAGGTCGAGGGAGAGAGCCGTACTCTGGATGGGGAAACCGGCAGGAGGCTTAAAGAGAGACAGATCGGAATATCATATTGTAGAATAAGTGCAGCAAGCTTCAAGGTTTCAGGAGTTCATTCGAGACTTGTTCCGTCGGACCTTTCCTCTTCGAGGCGATTGTCTGGACTGTCTGAGCATGTGCGTGGCGTGTCTCATGCTGAGGTGGGACCGGGCAGCTTTTCGTCCCGGCTCCTTGGCAAGCAGCGGAGTTCGCCCAAAGGTTTTCCGCACGGGTCACCTTGGGCCGGGGGGGGGAACGACACTTGCAAGCTCCGGATGGCATTGAACGCGAGGGTTGTGCATGCGGCACACCGCCAGAATACCGGAATGGAGGAAGCTGTAGTCCTTATGTTTGTTCCTTGTTGAAGCTCGTGGTGATAGCAGTGGATAAAGTTGCTAGGCTATGGATTCTTTCGGTGGCCCCCGCATCGCTTTTGTAGGTTGGGTATCGGTTTTCGGTGGTTTTTGCCTTGGCTTGACCCACCTGGCATTTGCAACCAGGTTGAGCTGGATTTCTTCGCCACCCCCCAGACAGCCATCGCGGCGGCGCGGCAAATTGAGCTTCTCAGGGCTTCAAACAATTTAGAGGAACTCCACAAACGGGAAGTTGCGTTTTTGGTTTCCCTTGAAGACAAGCCCATGAAGGGGTACCAACTCAAAAGCTTCTGGCTGCATGAGCATCAGATTGGACGGTCAGCCGGTTCTGGTGTTTGCAACAAGAAAAACAATGCGACCCCTTACGAATAATCACTCCTCGTTTTGCTTGTCTTAGGGTCCCACGACCGGTTTCATTTTGGCTTCCGTGCACTTGGGGTTCCACCCTATTTCGATGAACTCGATCAAGGTACTGCTTTCATGCCGCTCGAAATTGAAAGATGAAAGCACAATTGCAATGAACAATTAAAGGTTTGAATTTGAAACTCTCAGATAGGCATGTTATATTAATTCATAGGGAGTTTTTTTTTTGGGTAGCGGAGGTGATGACCTTTTGGACCCCTTTCAGCCTCGATGCCAGAATGGCCCACGTGCATCGTAGCAGCTAGATGAATCATTGTGTTTTCGGAGATCACGACTCGTTCTCGGCTATGGTTATGAAGCAAATCCTCCTGGTCCCTGTCAAGCCAGGATGGGGCCCAAGGTGTGCTGCGTAGAAGGTAGAGCTCCAACAACAGTATCCATTGGAAGAAGTTACAGGCTGGAAGTGGACCGGTCATGGCTTGGCTTGAACATCATGTTTGCCGAAGACAGGGTGGGTTAGTCCTGCAATATGGAGTAGCCCGAAAGAAAATTCAAGCGGCAATCACTGATGAGGGCAACATGCGTGAAAACCGCGAGGCAACTCTTTGCAAAAGTGATTGGATGCAGTGTATGAGTTTGGTTGCCCATTCCAAACCATGTTGGCTGCCCTTCAGATGCCCAACGCTAACTCCGTATTAACCATCGCACATCTTCACAGCCATCCATTCGTGAACCCTTTGGTGCCAAAAATGGGCAGCCATTTCCAGGGTTGCGTTTTGGTCACTCTGGAAGCCAACCTAACGAGTACCAGCTCAAAGGCAAGCCCAATGTGAATAGCGAGGACCATCCAAAATGGTTAAATGACCGCGCGAATGATGTCCGCGGGGCGCTGTTCGCCTAAGCCATTCGAGTGTACGGTCGACCGGCCGCCTTGCGTATTGCCCTCATTCGCATTTTGGGGAGAAGGGTTCCTACAAATTAAGGCCCCTCACAATGGCTAATTTTGCCTCGGTGTCCCTCCGAAATCATCCCAAACGAGGCTCCCTTCTTGACTATTGAATCTAAATCGGACCCCCCCGGAAGCACGTTTGGGTGACATCCAATGCCTGTCCGAAACAGTCCAAGCTCAACCAAATTGGCCCAGCCCACTTATAATGGTGGTTCAACCCGCACTTAGCTTTTTTGGACGGTTGCGCATGACCATCCCCAGAGTTTCGATGGGCCCATCCGATCGAAAATCCGAGGCCAAGTTGGAGGAACTCTCAGAGCCCGCAGCTGCCCGGCTGAGCTTGTGACAAGTCCAAGGGGTGTTCAAGGCTCACAGGGCTCACGGATTTTGCGGTGTTCCTTCAACCACAGGGTCTGAAATCCATTTGGAGAACCTTTTGAAAGGGAAAACCACCCGTCCTGGAAGAAACGTCCCAAAGGGGCCTTCGGGGGAGTGTGGGGTATGATGGAAAGGGTCGAGTATTCCATGCGTCGGTGGGATGTATCTTCGGAATCTGAGCACTATCCCTTGTGGGGTTTGTCTCAAACATAGGCGCGCAGACGTGGCATGGCCCACTCCATGTGTGTAAGTCAATGTGCACATAGACACTGCACACACACACACAATTATGTGTACATATTACAGTCTGCAACGAGCCAGCGGGTCTTGTTACAGAGGTCTGTAACGTTGCACAGCCCTCGCTACATAGCAACACCTTAGATTAACAAACCGCGTGCCTGGTTGCATGCCCCTCGTTACATGCACCGATGCATACCCAGACCCTCAGTGATTTTGCATGGGTGCCTTCAGCATGCTCTCGCCGAAGAGTCAACGTGCAGAGAGCTGCCATTTGTAAGACAAGTTGGAACAGGCAACAGGGAGGGGGCGGAAGAAAAAGTCATTTTCCCTGTGCTATGCCTCCTTACACGCCTCCTTACACGCCTCGTTACATAGCCGTTACGTGCAGCACTTTACACTACATACAACACAGTGCATTGCACTATATTGCATTGCTGCGCATAGAACACATATGTGCTACCTACCTACACGCATACTTACGCGCACAGGAAGACGTACATAATTACGTACGACACGCAGACACCCAGACACACAGTCATGCAGACACGCATGCCTGCATACGCGCACATGCACACCCGCGCACACCCGCGCAAACACACACGCGCACACACGCGCACACACGCGCGCGCACGCGCGCACACGTGCATGTGCAATCATGTATACGCTTCTCTGTCACTTGCATTGCAATACATTATGCCGCATGCCGTTGCATCATGTGTCATTACATGACATTACGTTGCTGACACATCCGTACATGCTTGGTGTTTAGGTCCCTGTCCTGGTCAAGCCGGGACTGCGCAATGTGCTTGCACGGATTGAGCCATATAATTCGTGTATGCGTATCCGTGCCACAGTGGAAGCATGTGGAAACACAAGGTCTTGCAAAGTCTTCTGTAGTCGCAGCCTGTTCTGTGTTGCGTTTGGCTTTGGAGGAAAATCTGCCAGCGCAAAAGTGCAGTGCGGCTGACTCGTCTCGATGCACATGGCTAGTTGCACTTCCTGCGCAAAACACCAAAGTTTCAAGACGGCCCGTCTCGTCCAAGCTCGGGCTCGTGCGGGGCCGAGGAGATGAAGAAGCGGCATAACCAGCCCACGGCATCCCCGAGGGGAACTAAGCTGACCATGGGCCTCCTGGAGGATCAGGAGCTAGGCCCACGGGAAAGGGTGTTTTTTCCCCACGGTCCGAATCGCCCTGAAACCAGCTTGTAGTTTATTGGTGGCCCCACCAGGTTGACCTCTGATTTCTGTGTCCTTTGAGCAGCACTCAAAATAGAGAAGACACTCCCATGATGTCCGCAGGGTCCCTCACAAATAAATACCCAGTTTGGACATTGGACACTTTAATTGTCGCCCTAATCTTTGAGCGGCATTGACCGCTTTGGAGAATTCTATGAAGGAGGATCAGCACGACATCAGCGGGAACCGTGAATACTCAAGCGGCTGTGCCCAACTCTGATGTGAATTTCCAACATGTAGCTCTAGCAACGGGGCCCCTTGGTTTTCTTTAGCTTGTGAACGGAGTAGGAGACCAGGGCACAAAACACGACACGTGTCGAGAGGCCATAAGCTTGAGTAGCTCCGTTGCATAGCCCTGGCCGTGAGACCTTGCAGCATGGTGCCTTGGTGGTTTCCCTGACAAAATAAAGCAGCCTTTTTACAGATCTCAGTCACGAGCCTAAGTGGTTGTCAAATTGGCCAACTGGGATAAGCCATGGATTAAAGATGAGGCACGACCGTTGCCACAGTGGCTGGATTGAACATCGCAGCATGATTTCATGTCCACCAGGAATGTCCTCTGATTCCTCAGGAATTGCTGTGGGTTTCCCCATAGAGCTTCCCCGTCAACAAGGGCCCTTCGGGTTGATGCTCCCTCTTGGCAAGACTGAAGTGCCTGGAGGATGAAGCATTTGCCCAAAACCAGTGGCATTTGAAAACACGGGGGTCTTGGGCCTGTCTTGTTTTTGGGGACCCCCAACAAATCGTGGTTTTCCTTTTGGTTTCCTTCTAAAACCAACCCCAAGACGGCCACTCCCCGAAAAAGACAGACCCACTTCTATGAGCCAGGCGTGGTCACATTTTGGCCATGAAAGAAGCTCGCACCGCCAGTTAGGCACAGAAGCATGAGGTTTTCCGGCGGGCACCCGAAACCAGAAAGAAGCCTTTTACCCAATACCAAGTTGGTCGCTCCAGGTCTGAGCGAGGACGGGACAATGATAACCACCCGCACTGGTGCCGCCCTCGGGAAAGATCGCGGACGGGAAAAATATCTCTTTCGGCAGTGGGATAGGGTTTAATTCTCGAATGCCGTAGTTATAACCTAATTGTGTTTAGCATCCATGTTCTTGTATAGCTGCCAATTTGCGTCGGTCGTCACGTCCGTGTCAGTACAAACAAGTAAACCAGTGCTCACATCGTACCTTGTTGTAAATTCTAGAGGCCCCTTCGAGATTATGTTTCTCTCCCATGTCCACTGGACAAGCAAGGCAGACAGATGATGACTTTACAGCGCGTAGGGCATTTTTGCTGTAGTCCATGCGAGTTATCTCTTACGAGCAGATAGCATGTGAACAACGAAGTCAAAAGGGCCGGCATATGCATTTGCATTTTGGTGTGTCTTGGATACGGCGGATACCGGATACCCTTGTGGGGGTGCATATGAAGAGAAACCAAAGGAAACACACCATTTTGGGGAGTAGCCCTATTTGACACGCACTTCAAAAACGCGTGGATTGCCAGATTGCTGCTTAGCACCCTTTTTGCGGACCCATGTCTATTCTGCATAGATGCCACTTCAGCTATCTGAGGAACCACTACTGCGCTCCAATGCACAGGCCTGGACCTATGGCTTCAGTGGGGCGGGGTTCGGGAAGCCACGAGCATGCCCATCAGAACAAGCAGAGGCACCTGTCCCTTTTAGACCGGGAGAGCAAGAATCAGTTTGTGTTCCTTGGCTGTTGGGAAGGTTCGCAGAAACAGACTCGCCTCAAACCAACCCTCATCAGGGAGCACAAACAGGGTCGTTTCAACACGTGTGACCCTGCAACACTCCAATGGTTTTGCTGTGAAGTTCCATCAAATCATCATTCAGTACCGTTCTCAAAAGTCAGGCTTTCAGACAAATTCCCTCGACCACAAACCTGCAGCAGCTCATGTTTTCCACTCAATTTGCTCGTCAATTTGTATGTACGTAGGTATGTTCCAGCTACATTCCAGGGCAGCTACTCTCCTGAGTGTCATTGGATGTTCACTGGATGTTCTTCATTTGGAGATATCCTTTCCAACAGGCCAGACATGTCCATTCCCACTTTTCCAGTTTGACTTTCAATGGGGAACCTTCTGGCCTTTGCTCCAATCAAGGACAAATAGCGTTGACGTTCCAGTGGCACTCCGGTGCTTGTCCAGTGTTTTTTCCATTTCTTTCCAGTGCTTTTGCAGTGAAATTCCAATGAAATCCCTCTAAGGAAATAGCTGGAATGTCACCTGAATCTTGCTCCCAAGATCGGGCCAAAGAGACCCCATGTCAAGTAGCCTATGATGCGCCTTTTAAATTCAAGATGGAGGCAAACTGAGGGCTTCCTACTATGAGCTGTTTGGGCCATGTCCTTCGCGAGTTGGTCTCTGTGGCAATCAATTTGCCGTTGGAAAGGCAATTGCAGCCAACTATGACTCACTTGTCCAAAGCCGCCCTTTGACTTGTTCCCCGATTTGGTGCATGTTTGGTCATGGCCCCAAAAGGTTTTCCCTTTTTTGTGTGGGTCCTTTGGGCACCGGAGATGATTAGCATACAGCTTGAAGGTTTTGTCACGTTTGTCCATGCAGTGCCAGGTGAGGTTCTGAAGAAGGCCCACGAGTCCTGCGATGCCTTGGCCAAGGACAAGCAGGAAGGCCTGCCAGCCCAAAACGACCCCGGCGGTCAGCTGAGGAAATGATCGTCTGAGAAGGTTGGGTTCGTATTCATTTCGGCTGCCCTTGCAATTTGTTGAAGGGGGTAATCTCGGCGAACCCTCATCAGTGAACCTACAAGCCTTGAACTCCTGTAAACTCACTTGGTTTGGGACAACAGCCCGCCAACCTCAACGAGCATCAACATGAAATGATAGTGGTTCGCATCATTGTTGATGTCAACATTGGGGCTTGTGAGGTGAGGATGATCATGATAACGATGTGAAGAAGGCAATGCTACAGCCGCGGGCTTAAGCTGAGGAAGAAGCTGCGGTGTAACGCGCCTGCCGTTGTGGAACTGTCTCCTGTGAATGTGCAACTGGTTTAACCACTCGAAGATGGTTGCGTTGGTGAGAGAGTGGGATTTCCAAGGAGTTGCATCTACGACGTGTGCGTGACTGCCTTGAAGGGGTTCGGAAAGACCTACAAGGAAGATGAGGAGCAACACTGGGCTGCACTGGTCTTGCCCCAGTGGGAAGCGTCAGAGAGTTGATTCGGACCCCCACCCATTGTCTTATGAGCCGTGCCTCAATGTACCGTGTTTTTTGTTGACTCTGTCTTGAACCGTGCTGTGCTAGGGTTCTGCCACACACACACACACATACCAGGTCATGTTTGTGTTGGTTAAGCTATGCTGCACAACGTTTTAACGTCTTGAGTTTAATTGTGTTTTGCCTGCTGCTTTCGGGCCAGGACACTGCAATTTGGCTCTTGTTGCAACTAAAAATAGTCGCCTGCAGAGCAGCCCATGTCCGCATGTTGTGGCTTACAGGGCTAAAGAGATCGATATATGCCGCCTACAAGGACCTTGTTGGAGGGCTGATTCAGATATGCCTAGGATGAATCGCAGGCCTGCAAGTTGCATGTTGGGCAAGTAGTGACCTCGCAAAGGGGTTCGCCACCCAGGATGAAGGTGTCTTGGGGGCTCCATATTGAAGTGTTATCTTAGTCTCTGCTTCCGTAGATGGTTGTGTCATAAGGGTCATGACTGGTATCTTCGAGCTTCCCAGTACCATGGCAGGAACTGTACGACGAAGAGTCAGCCCTACGGCACCGAATGAACTTTACCATGGTTGGACAAGGGAAAGCCTGTGAAGAAGGCAGGAACTGGGATACAGCGTCCGTCGCAGGGATGAATCACTTCTAAGCTCCGGAAGTCAGTCAGCTTTATTCGGGGGGTCAAAACTACCAGACCGCAGGTTTTGGTTTCCATGTTTCTTACCGATGCAAGCGTTCCATGGGTCACCCGATTTTGGACCACGGCTTCCTTTCCGAGGCTCATGGGACAGGCCCTGGCAAACTGGGGGGGGGGGGAGTTGGTGTGCCCTCAAAGGTGTCACCAGATCTTATGAATCACTGGCCGACTGCAAATCAGGGCGTCAGAAGGGGTACATGAAGAGTTATGCCCTAAATGAGGCTTGACTCTCATATGCTGCTGTTGGAGTTTGGTCGGGAAAATAGTTGAGTCCCTGACCTCGAGGCCACAAGAAAACCACGGAGGTGAATGACATTACGCTATCGGAGAGGGAGAAGGAGCGCAGCTTGGCGGCATAAGCGCGCTCCGAAAGTCAATCGAGCGAAAGCCATGATGGTCCTTCACTTGGGGGGATCCCTTCTTTCAGGAGTGATTGGCTTTCAATGCAACCTGCGTCGGGGCGTTTGCAAGCTCCCGCCTGCTCCAGCAAGGTGAGAAAGGGGCAGACGAGCATGTCAACAGTTTTTGCAAACCACGGGTGAAAGTGTGCAGTGTGCTGTAGGACGATGTTTCAAGGTGAACAAATTTGAGCATAGTGGTGTTTCAACGAACAAAGTACACCATGATGCCACTTAAATCAAGGGTATCTTGGATCAAATCCAACCCAGCCATGCATGGAAGCCGCCCATTTTTCGGGGCCTTGGAGTCGAGCATTGTTTTGTTGTTTTTTCCCGTTTTGGTTTTCGTTTTGGTTTCAGTGGAGCACACGGCCTGAGGCCTCGCAGCAGCCAAAGGCAACTGCACCGGGCCCTGCGAGATCTGCATGCCCGGCGGTAGCTCGGCGATAAAACAAAACCTCCAGCTCATGCCCTGTCCTTTCAGGTCAGTTTGGTTGAAAGGGTCTGGTCCCTCAGTTGATGCCCTGTCCTTTCAGGTCAGTTTGGTTGAAAATAGCGTTGAAAGGGTCTGGTTTCAGTTCCCCCTCCAGTTGATGCCCTGTCCTTTCAGGTCAGTTTGGTTGAAAGGGTTTGGTTTCAGTTCCCCCTCCAGTTGATGCCCTGTCCTTTCAGGTCAGTTTGGTTGAAAATCGGGTTGAAAGGGTCTGGTGTCAGTTCCCCCTCCAGTTGATGCCCTGTCCTTTCAGGTCAGTTTGGTTGAAAGGGTCTGGTTTCAGTTCCCTTTCCAGTTGATGCCCTGTCCTTCCTTTCAGGTCAGTTTGGTTGAAAGGGTCTGGTTTCAGTTCCCCCTCCAGTTGATGCCCTGTCCTTTCAGGTCAGTTTGGTTGAAACGGTCTGGTTTCAGTTCCCCCTCCAGTTGATGCCCTGTCCTTTCAGGTCAGTTTGGTTGAAAGGGTCTGGTTTCAGTTCCCCCTCCAGTTGATGCCCTGTCCTTTCAGGTCAGTTTGGTTGAAAGGGTTTGGTTTCAGTTCCCCCTCCAGTTGATGCCCTGTCCTTTCAGGTCAGTTTGGTTGAAAGGGTCTGGTTTCAGTCTGGTTTCAGTTCCCTTTCCAGTTGATGCCCTGTCCTTCCTTTCAGGTCAGTTTGGTTGAAAGGGTCTGGTTTCAGTTCTTCCTCCAGTTGATGCCCTGTCCTTTCAGGTCAGTTTGGTTGAAAGGGTCTGGTTTCAGTTCCCCCTCCAGTTGATGCCCTGTCCTTTCAGGTCAGTTTGGTTGAAAGGGTCTGGTTTCAGTTCCCCCTCCAGTTGATGCCCTGTCCTTTCAGGTCAGTTTGGTTGAAAGGGTCTGGTTTCAGTTCCCCTCCAGTTGATGCCCTGTCCTTTCAGGTCAGTTTGGTTGAAAGGGTCTGGTTTCAGTTCCCCCTCCAGTTGATGCCCTGTCCTTTCAGGTCAGTTTGGTTGAAAGGGTCTGGTTTCAGTTCCCCCTCCAGTTGATGCCCTGTCCTTTCAGGTCAGTTTGGTTTCAGGTGCCCTGTCCTTTCAGGTCAGTTTGGTTGAAAGGGTCTGGTTTCAGTTCCCCCTCCAGTTGATGCCCTGTCCTTTCAGGTTAGTTTGGTTGAAAATAGGGTTGAAAGGGTCTGGTTTCAGTTCCCCCTCCAGTTGATGCCCTGTCCTTTCAGGTCAGTTTGGTTGAAAGGGTTTGGTTTCAGTTCCCCCTCCAGTTGATGCCCTGTCCTTTCAGGTCAGTTTGGTTGAAAATCGGGTTGACAGGGTCTGGTGTCAGTTCCCCCTCCAGTTGATGCCCTGTCCTTTCAGGTCAGTTTGGTTGAAAGGGTCTGGTTTCAGTTCCCTTTCCAGTTGATGCCCTGTCCTTCCTTTCAGGTCAGTTTGGTTGAAAGGGTCTGGTTTCAGTTCTTCCTCCAGTTGATGCCCTGTCCTTTCAGGTCAGTTTGGTTGAAAGGGTCTGGTTTTTCAGTTCCCCCTCCAGTTGATGCCCTGTCCTTTCAGGTCAGTTTGGTTGAAAGGGTCTGGTTTCAGTTCCCTCTCCAGTTGATGCCCTGTCCTTTCAGGTCAGTTTGCTGAAAGGGTCTGGTTTCAGTTCCTCCAGTTGATGCCTCTGTCCTTTCAGGTCAGTTTGGTTGAAAGGGTCTGGTTTCAGTTCCCCCTCCAGTTGATGCCCTGTCCTTTCAGGTCAGTTTGGTTGAAAGGGTCTGGTGTCAGTTCCCCCTCCAGTTGATGCCCTGTCCTTTCAGGTCAGTTTGGTTGAAAATAGGGTTGAAAGGGTCTGGTTTCAGTTCCCCCTCCAGTTGATGCCCTGTCCTTTCAGGTCAGTTTGGTTGAAAGGGTCTGGTTTCAGTTCCCCCTCCAGTTGATGCCCTGTCCTTTCAGGTTAGTTTGGTTGAAAATAGGGTTGAAAGGGTCTGGTTTCAGTTCCCCCTCCAGTTGATGCCCTGTCCTTTCAGGTCAGTTTGGTTGAAAGGGTCTGGTTTCAGTTCCCCCTGACCTTTCCGGTCAGTTTGGTTGAAAGGGTCTGGTTTTTTAGTCCTTTCAGGTCAGTTTGGTTGAACATAGGGTTGAAAGGGTCTGGTTTCAGTTCCTCCAGTTGATGCCTGTCCTTTCAGGTCAGTTTGGTTGAGGCGGTCATGTCAGTCCCTCCAGTTGATGCCCTGTCCTTTCAGGTCAGTTTGGTTGAAAATAGGGTTGAAAGGGTCTGGTTTCAGTTCCCCCTCCGGTTGATGCCCTGTCCTTTCAGGTCAGTTTGATTGAAAATCGGGTTGACAGGGTCTGGTTTCAGTTCCCCCTCCAGTTGATGCCCTGTCCTTTCAGGTCAGTTTGGTTGAAAATCGGGTTGGAAGGGTCTGGTTTCAGTTCCCCCTCCAGTTGATGCCCTGTCCTTTCAGGTCAGTTTGGTTGAAAATAGCGTTGAAAGCGTCTGGTTTCAGTTCCCTCTCCAGTTGATGCCCTGTCCTTTCAGGTCAGTTTGGTTGAAAGGGTCTGGTTTCAGTTCCCCCTCCAGTTGATGCCCTGTCCTTTCAGGTCAGTTTGGTTGAAAATCGGGTTGAAAGGGTCTGGTTTCAGTTCCCCCTCCAGTTGATGCCCTGTACTTTCAGGTCAGTTTGCAGCGATTCTTCACAATGAGTGGGGGTGTTTTCAGTTTCCCCCTCCAAAAACCCATGCAAAATTTCAGGTCAGTTTGGTTGAAAGAGTAGATGGCCTCAGTTCCCCCTCCAGTTCATGCCCTGTCCTTTCAGGTCAGTTTGGAAGTAGGGTTGAAAGGGTCTGGTTTCAGTTCCCCCTCCGGTTGATGCCCTGTCCTTTCAGGTCAGTTTGGTTGAAAATCGGGTTGAAAGGGTCTGGTGTCAGTTCCCCCTCCAGTTGATGCCCTGTCCTTTCAGGTCAGTTTGGTTGAAAATAGGGTTGAAAGGGTCTGGTTTCAGTTCCCCCTCCAGTTGATGCCCTGTCCTTTCAGGTCAGTTTGGTTGAAAATAGGGTTGAAAGGGTCTGGTTTCAGTTCCCCCTCCAGTTGATGCCCTGTCCTTTCAGGTCAGTTTGGTTGAAAGGGTCTGGTTTTAGTTCCCCCTCCAGTTGATGCCCTGTCCTTTCAGGTCAGTTTGGTTGAAAATAGCGTTGAAAGGGTCTGGTTTCAGTTCCCCCGTGGTTGATGCCTGTCCTTTCAGGTCAGTTTGGTTGAAAGGGTCTGGTGTCAGTTCCCCCTCCAGTTGATGCCCTGTCCTTTCAGGTCAGTTTGGTTGAAAATAGGGTTGAAAGAGTCTGGTTTCAGTTCCCCCTCCAGTTGATGCCCTGTCCTTTCAGGTCAGTTTGGTTGAAAATCGGGTTGAAAGGGTCTGGTTTCAGTTCCCCCTCCAGTTGATGCCCTGTCCTTTCAGGTCAGTTTGGTTGAAAATAGGGTTGAAAGGGTCTGGTTTCAGTTCCCCCTCCAGTTGATGCCCTGTCCTTTCAGGTCAGTTTGGTTGAATATAGGGTTGAAAGGGTCTGGTTTCAGTTCCCCGTCCAGTTGATGCCCTGTCCTTTCAGGTCAGTTTGGTTGAAAGGTCTGGTTTTCAGTTTCCCCCCTCAGTTGATGCCTGTCCTTTCAGGTCAGTTTGGTTGAGGTCTGGTTTCAGTTCCCCCCTCCAGTTGATGCCCTGTCCTTTCAGGTCAGGTTGAAAGAATCTGGTTTCAGTTCCCCCTCCAGTTGATGCCCTGTCCTTTCAGGTCAGTTTGGTTGAATATAGGGTTGAAAGGGTCTGGTTTCAGTTCCCCGTCCAGTTGATGCCCTGTCCTTTCAGGTCAGTTTGGTTGAAAGGGTCTGGTTTCAGTTCCCCCTCCAGTTGATGCCCTGTCCTTTCAGGTCAGTTTGGTTGAAAGGGTCTGGTTTTTCAGTTCCCCCTCCAGTTGATGCCCTGTCCTTTCAGGTCAGTTTGGTTCAAAATAGGGTTGAAAGGGTCTGGTTTCAGTTCCCCCTCCAGTTGATGCCCTGTCATTTCAGGTCAGTTTGGTTGAAAATAGGGTTGAAAGGGTCTGGTTTCAATTCCCCCTCCAGTTGATGCGCTGTCCTTTCAGGTCAGTTTGGTTGAAAGGGTCTGGTTTCAGTTCCCCCTCCAGTTGATGCCCTGTCCTTTCAGGTCAGTTTGGTTGAAAGGGTCTGGTTTCAGTTCCCCCTCCAGTTGATGCCCTGTCCTTTCAGGTTAGTTTGGTTGAAAATAGGGTTGAAAGGGTCTGGTTTCAGTTCCCCCTCCAGTTGATGCCCTGTCCTTTCAGGTCAGTTTGGTTGAAAGGGTCTGGTTTCAGTTCCCCCTGTCCTTTCCGGTCAGTTTGGTTGAAAGGGTCTGGTTTTTTAGTCCTTTCAGGTCAGTTTGGTTGAAAATAGGGTTGAAAGGGTCTGGTTTCAGTTCCCCCTCCAGTTGATGCCCTGTCCTTTCAGGTCAGTTCGGTTGAAAATAGCGTTGAAAGGGTCTGGTTTTTCAGTTCCCCCTCCTGCTGATGCCCTGTCCTTTCAGGTCAGTTTGGTTGAAAGGGTCTGGTTTTTCAGTTCCCCCTCCAGTTGATGCCCTGTCCTTTCAGGTCAGTTTGGTTGAAAATAGGGTTGAAAGGGTCTGGTTTCAGTTCCCCCTCCGGTTGATGCCCTGTCCTTTCAGGTCAGTTTGGTTGAAAATCGGGTTGAAAGGGTCTGGTGTCAGTTCCCGCTCCAGTTGATGCCCTGTCCTTTCAGGTCAGTTTGGTTGAAAGGGTTTGGTTTCAGTTCCCCCTCCAGTTGATGCCCTGTCCTTTCAGGTCAGTTTGGTTGAAAATAGCGTTGAAAGGGTCTGGTTTTTCAGTTCCCCCTCCAGTTGATGCCCTGTCCTTTCAGGTCAGTTTGGTTGAAAGGGTCTGGTTTCAGTTCCCCCTCCAGTTGATGCCCTGTCCTTTCAGGTCAGTTTGGTTGAGAAAAGGCTCACGGGTTTCAGTTAGCGTCATGCCATCGGGTTTCTTTGGAAGGGGCGCCAGTTGATCCTTGCCAAGGCTCCAAATGGGACATGTTGCGGGTTTGTGTTGGCTCTGTCGATGTTTGTGTTGGCTCTATGTTCATTTGCAGGACTCCGCCATAGCGCAGTCTCTCTCTCTCTCTCTCTCTCTCTCCCTCTCTCTCTCTCTCTCTCCATCCCAATACACCATTGGAAGGCAAGCTGGTAGGGAATTCGGGTCAGACGATCAATTTGAGCGGTGTCAAGTTGTTTGCATGGTGCCTTAGTGGCTGAACCAAGGGGTCACGACTTCGTCAGACCAGTTTGGTCAGTGGATTGTAGACTCACAAACGCTTGACACCAAAGGGACCACCATCCTTGCCTTGGCCTTGAGTTCCGAACTATATCGAAAATGGCTGCAGCCAACGCTTCGTCTGAGAGGCAGTATGCAGTAGAAAGGATGTTTGTCTCCAAAGTGAAACGCGGATACGACAGTGATAGGATTGGGACACAGCGCTGCGAGTCGGAAGCGAGCTCATATCATGCGGGCGACAGCGCAGGGGGGTAAAGGAGTGCGCCCGGAAAAGCCCGCCTAGGAAAACCGATCGTCCGGACCTGGAGTTATCGTGGAACCTGACTGCAGGCCTAAGACCTGTTTCCCTTCTGAGAATTTCTCGACCTTCTGGGTAAAAGAGGGTTTTTACTTCCGGGGGCTCCTTGGCCTATTTGGCCCAGTCCGAAAGTATCTGGTGGGAAGCACCGTGCGCCACAACGAGACGCTGCAGAGTGTCTTGGTGCTCACAGCATTCTGAGTGGCAAGTCCCCATTGAGAAAATGGAACCCGATTTCCTGGCATGTCACAGTGTTTTTCTTCATGACATTTGAAGATCAGCCAAATCACTTCTCAGACTGAAGCAGCTTTGATGTCCCCCTCTGAAAATTGGAGGCCACTGATGGCTGAGTGAATGGCATAGTTGTGTATGTGTGTCCAAGACCAAAGCATTTTCGCTCTTTGTTTCCCTTCCAGTAGGTAGCCAAGGGTGGCACCATGCAACTCAACCAACTGGTGGAATGCACGGGCCTAGAAGGTGCATATATGCTCACCCTCCATGACCCACCTTGAGCTCTGAGAAACAATCAGCACACCAGCGCCCACCTGGGCAAAAAATGTATGATCAACTTTCAACTGTAGCATTGTGTGTTCCCGCTTCGCTAGTTTCGAATAAGAACTTGAATCAACTCAAACCGTGATGTGTCATATCTAAAAGGCTTTGACTAGATAAGTCAAAAGTTGATTCCAGTTTGCTGCTGAGAAGGTGGTTTTTGGATCGACATTTGGGGTGACCAATCAGGTTCTCAGATAGAGAACCCCTTTCCCTATTCTTTCACTTTGCTTCCTCCGTTTTCAGGGTGTTGCCAAGCCCCTCAATAGAAATAGCACAGTTTTAAAGTCGGCCAGCCACTTTGAACATGTTGCAACAATGATGATGACCCACACAACAACATTGAGGGACCTCCAAGGGAGCATTGCAATAGTGTCTCATGATGAGGTTGAGTAGATTATCATAGAAACTTTACTACGTATTTGGAAGCAGCCCCGCGCATTCAACTTTGTTCAGATCAGATGTAAGCCATTTGGTGAGAGTTTGCTGCATATTTGATATTGAGGGGTTGGTAAAGCTATAGTTAGAGAACGCTCAAATTGTTAGCCAGAGGCATTATACATTGTCAGCTATGAACAAACAACCCATATTATATATATATATTTACTAGACATATCTCAGGTATTCAGAATTAGTGCAACTAGCTGGATTTTGTTCAAACAATTTGACATGCCCTGCCAG